ACAGAAAATTTTCGTACATTTTGTTCTCAAAAATTGACAGATTAAAATAATACTGTTGCATGCAAAGCTGTGTCGAGGAAGTGCGGGTGTGAGCAGCGTTTTTTACCGGGGGGGGCGAGTACATTAATTTGCGTGTTGTAACAAGCAGAGCCATTAAGGTGTGCTTGGATAAGAAGAATTTTTTGTGTTGTTGTGGTATGTTGGAGGACAGGAAGGTTTTGCATTGTCGAGGAATAGAATTGTCATGTTTGAGGTAGTAAGAGGTCTTGTTTCGTTGTTCGTGAGAATAGAGGATAGTATCGGGATTAAGTAGAGGTCTCATTTTATGATGACATGTGTTATAACCCTTCTAGTATAGTATACAGGAATTAATCTCTGAAATCTGATGTTTGTCCTAAGGTTTTTTTAATGACTTTAAAACATTTAATTTTGGTATATAAATATTGAATGGACATCTCAGAATGACGCTAGTTTTAACTCGATATTGTCATTTTTAACATGTAATATTGAAGTCATATTTAATAATAAATGTATTATGATATTTATTAAGAATTCCAACACGACCACGCATATTTCCACTATTAACATTCAGAGATACCGAAGTTATGTTATTAATCCATAAAATCACTGTTACGTTTCATATATTATGATTAACTAATCCAATCATACACGTAGAACCCTAAAATGTGAACGCAAGTACATAAAGTACGGCACAAAATCAGGACACAATTATAGCTTAATATATATGTACGGCATTAAAAAATCTTTGTTTTCGCGCGCGATTTTGTTCGGTATAGAACGAACAATTGATATAATCAAAATCGGTGATTTTATGCTTTTGATACCATCACGTTTGTCGCTTGGTGATGCGCATAATTATATCACTCGTGATATAATTCCTCGCATCCGAACTCCAAACAGTGATGTTATTGAGCAATAAAATCATAGTTTGGGATATACAAAATCTCTCCTTGTACCAGTATAATATCACTAATACACCTGTTACAATGTATCAAATTGTAAATCCTAACATGCTTATTATTATGCCCCCACAGAGTGGGAGCATATAGCGTTGCACTTGTCCGTCCGAGTGTCCGGCCGTCCGTACGTCTGTTCGTACGTCCCGAAATCTTGTGAACGCAACTCTTAAACCGGATGGCAGATTTTGCTTAAACTTCCAGGGATGAACAACCTAAATGTGTAGATGGTAGTAAAGGAAGGAATTTTTGCTGCGACAAAATTTAACAGAATTATGGCCCTTTGTTGATTTTTTCACTATATACTATGTAGAAATTTTGTGAACGCAACTCCTATTAAACTGGATGGTGGATTTTGCTTAAACTTCCAGGGATGAACAACCTTAATGTGTAGATGGTTGTAAAGAAAGGAATTTTTGCCGCGACCAAAATTTAACCAGAATTATGCCCTTTTGATTTTGCCTTGTATACTATGTAGAAATTTGTGCAATGCAACTCCTCTTTACAACTGGATGGCAGATTTGCTTAGAACTTCCAGGGATGAACAACCTTAATGTGTAGATGGTAGTAAAGTTGAATCGAATGTTTGTTGCTGCGAACAAAATTTTACATAATTATGGGCCCTTTTTATGACCTTTGACTTTTAGTTTCTATAACTCTTTCACATATGTAGTCCAAAAAAATATTGACCTAGAAGTCAGGTGAAGATTGAGGCCAGAAGCAGAGGTGAGCGTGGTGGTGGGGCGGGGAGTCGCGTGTCCGGTGGATGGGACAGCATTATGTATTGGTCCAGTATGGAAAGCGAGAGGTTTATCGTGGTACGGGATATATGCATGATATATGCACAGCATGAAAAAGGGATGCTTTACGTCACACGTCGGCATTAAACCAAACCAAATGACGTCAGGGAAATTACTTTACGCACAAATAACGTAGTTCAACATATTTGTATCAGTTCTCTTTTTATAAGCATGTTTGATGGAAATAAAAATTTTGTTGTATTTATAGTTCAAATGCTTTGTAATTAATCACTCAGGCCTCTTAAAGGCTTTCTTGATCATATTCCTGTGCAATTGAAAGTGTCTATGTAATGGCAAGCTGTTATTTTTAGCTGATAAATATAATGTAATGGCAACCTTTTAATATTATGTAAATGAATAAGTTGCAGTGAAATTGTTATTGTACGCAGAAATATCTTTGCCTGTTGATTATTTTGTGAGTATGTCGTATAGGATGAATGATGTGCCAAGAGCGATAGATCGTATGCTTGTGGCGTGGCGAGGGAAATATTAAAGTATTAGCTGTCGATTTTTATTCATTTAGTGTCAGTATGTTGGAATTGTGAGTGGGGAGGGTGTGAGAATTTGAATGGGCCGTAACGGACTACGTGTTGTGGCATGAGCGTGATAGAGAGACAAGCATTGAGATAAGCAAATCGGTGATATGGGGTGCCAGTATGATTGCGAGTGGATTTAGTGTAGAATGTGAAGATGAGTTATTGGTTAGTCAGCGTTGAGTACTGTTGGCGTGTGATGTGCGGAGTAGGGAATGCTGGTAAGGAAGGTTAAGTCCGACTGAGTGAGGGGGTGGGGGTGGGGCAAATCAATGTGTCTGTTTTGCAGGGTGTGGTGCCGACAGGGGTTATGCGGAGGACAAGTGAAATGTGGTCCGTTGAGACTGTTACATGGTGGGTTGAAAGTGGACGACAATAAATATCATACATACAAGTAAAAATATGTTTCTAATAAAACAGACACTAGTGTGTCAAAATCAGATTTTGCCAGCCCTGAGATCGAGGCCAACATTTTTTAAATTTATAGAAAACATTTGAAAATGTTTTATATTATGAAAATTTATCATAAAATTATACTAGCGCATGCAGCTTTTGCACAGCTGCTGGAATTCCTTTCAGCCTGTAAGAATTAATTGTCTCATTAAAAGTAATTCTTGCAGTATAACATAGATAATCATGTAAGAACTGATAATTTTTTTTTGATTTTATTTTTATTTTTTTACTATGTTTTATTATTATTTGTAATTTTCTGTACTGGAAATAACTTCATTATAATGATCTGAAACAAGGAGATACATGTATATTAATTAATAGTATTGTTGATTAAAAACAACACAGTATGGTTGTGTTTTAATTATGTAGCTTATATTTCTCTGATCATTTTATATATGAAGATGAAACAAAACAATTATTTCCTGGTTTTAAATACAGAAGCTATATGTAGATTTATATGCATAAGGATCTGTTCTATATCATACTTTGCTATACAGTTGCTAAGGATCAACAGTTAGATTTATGGCTTTGTTTTTTGTTGTTTTTTTTCTCACTCTCTAGGCTAAGATCCTTACAAGATTAATTTGTTTAAGCTGCTGTCTCACTTACTCCTGGCAGAGACCAGGATCATCCCGGGGCTCTGCCGGCATCCTCCGGGGCTCTGCCGGCATTCACCGGGGCTCTGCCAGCATTCACTGGGGCTCTACCGTAGCTCTACCTGCTATATCATACCCCGGATCATCCCCTGTTTGTGCTGGCAGAGCTACAGTGTAACCCGGTCATTCCCGGCAGAGCTAAGGATAAAGCTGGCAAAGCTATACTTCCCAGATCATCCCAGATCATCCCGGACCACCCCGGGGTCGAATGCCGGATGATCCTGGATCATCCAGGACGTTGCCAGCAGAGTTACCGATGTACCCTGGTTGTTCCCGGTCGTACCCGGATCACCCCGGACGTCTGCCGGGGCTCTGCCAGGATGTAAGTGAGACTGTAGCTTTATGGCTAAAAAAATTCCCTTAAGTTGGTTATCTGTGGTTATTGATAAAGTCCGTTTCAACATTGAGCAGTAGTTTCATAAAATAATTCATCTATTGAAATAAATGTAAGTGGCACTGTGCCGAAATCAGTTATTACGTTTGTATGTGCCTCTTTAAATTTGAAAAAACAAAAAAGTTAATAAAATTTAATTTGAAGTGGCAGCATGGCAGAGTGGTTAACATGTCAGACTAGTAATCTACGGATTATTATCCGTGTGCATGGGTTCAAAACACATAAGGGGCGAGCTGCTAATACCCAATTTGTTCAAACGCCATCAGGGACAAGCTGTAACAGTTGTTTCCTTAAGTAAGAATCTTTTCACTCATTGTTCAGTACTGATTGGTTCCAGGAACGAATTCTAATACTGTCGTCATGAGCTAGGACGATCAGCTCATATCACAGTCAACTAAATAAATTTTTATATAAACCAATTTATTGCATGTCTCTTTAAATTACCTAAATTAACACATTTTGGGTCAGTCTGGTAATATTTAATAATTAATAAATTTAATATTATTAAAAGCTGATTTATTTCTTCTATATTTTCAGTATGAAAACAGACTTGGATGATGAAGATTTATAAATCCATAGAGCATGATTAACTTGGACGAGGAAGATAACTAGAGTCAGGAAAGAGGAAGAAGTTATACAGTTGCAGTTTCTTTTACCATCATCAACTTAACAGTGTAACATAAATTATTATATAAAACATGAGTTCTACCTAACATGTAGAGCAATATATTTCAATGAGAAAAAAGTCAATGAGAAAAAAGGTTGACAGTAGATGTATATAAATATATATACATGTGTTGTATTGAGGAATTATAGAGAAGTGACTGTCAGCTGTTGATGATTGTTTGTGCTGTATAAATATTGACTTTAGTTGCACAGACGCTTGGGGTTTGGAGCTCAAAACGCCTTTAACAGTGTTTAAAATCCAAATAAAATGCATATTTGTCAATCCCAGGACATGTACTGATCATATATATCGAAAAATCTTAATATATGCCGTTTTGAAAAAAAATCATATTTCAACATCTATAATAATACACTATAGATGTTGAAATATGATTTTTTTTCAAAACGGCATATATTAAGATTTTTTGATATATATGATCAGTACATGTCCTGGGATTGACAAATATGCATTTTATTTGGATTTTAAAGGCGTTTTGAGCTCCAAACCCCAAGCGTCTGTGTTTAGTTGTGGAGGACAGAGTACAAGAACATTTACATATATCATCTAACAATCACAATGATGTAAACAAAAGACTTACAACAACAAATGGAATATTTTGTCTCCAAGAAATGATTTTTCTTTCTTTAAGGTAAGATGAATTGTTTTCTTCTTCTTCTATAAACATTCTCTTTTAATTGGGTATTAGCTGCGTATTTTAGCTCACCTGTCACAAAGTGACATTAAGAGCGTAAGTGATTGCTTTTGTCCTAATAAAGGCCTTGGGGTCAAGATTGGCCCCGCCCCATGGGGTCATTGATTTTCCCTATATAAATATAGTAAAAACAAAAAAAAAAACCTTTAAAGAATCCAAAGAGCTAGAGCTTAGATATTTAGCTTGAAACATCTTCTAATAGGTATGTACCAAGTTTGTTCAAATAAAAGCCCTGAGGTCAAAATTGGCCCTTCCATTTGGGTAAGTCAAGTCAATGGTCAGTTGCACACAATCATAATAAAATAAGTACTGGAGAATGAGAAAAATAAAAGACAAAAATACTTTTCTTAGAATTGTAATATGGTTACTTAAGTAACTCCTGCCATATATGGGATTTTACTTAATACATTCCTTGCCATCCCCCGCACCCCCCCTCAAACTCCACAACTAAACCACAAGTTATATCTCAGTAAAGTTATAGATTTTTTAACGCCTAGGGACTAGGATTTGGGCAATGATATTAAACAATAGATCTTCCGTATAATAATAAATCTATCATTATTCAACTTGCTAAACAAGCTCCGGGTGATTGAAGCGTGGAAGAAGTGCAAGTAATCGCTTCGATGTTATATCGAAAATTTCTCCCTGGAACTCATATTATATGTGGTTATAAGGTTTCGTCAGTGGAAGGAGCGGGACCGGGATTATGTCTGTTAATGAGTGTACAACGAAAACATGTAGCAATATTTTCAGTAGAGAGTATTCAGTATTGTCGTGTAGGTATTGAGAAGAAGAGTATGGATCTGTACGCGAAGGAAGAGTGAGGCAGAACGATGGTGTAATAGTGCCAGAGACAACACAAGTAGAGGGAATAGACGAGAGTCATAGCTTCGAGTGAAGTGAGAGAATAATGAGATGAAGGAACAGGATGGGGAATGATGTGGGGGGGGTGTCCGGTTACAATGTGGGGCATCATCGGGATATGTAAAGACCCGAGCAGTTGCGTACACGGTATTGCGGCGTATGGAGCCGGTTCAGTGGGCAAGTAGGTTACTGGATAGCAAATTTAAGAGTTCGAATGGATGTGCTTAGCTGGCTGGTTAGGCATCTCATGAGAACTTAAACGGAAAATGCTTGCGTAGAGATAGAAGAGAGGTCTATTGGTACACGTTGGAGTGTGGGGTGGACGGGATGAATCAGTAGTGGCAGAGTGTGAACAGTTCGATGAAAGTCAAGAGCGGAACGTAGCAATCTGTACGAGTAGTAGACGTTCAGGGGTGCAATGGGCTGGTCTACATCGGTGGGAGGAGAGATAAGGGTAGTTGAGATGGGGGGTGGGGATAACTGTAAATTGTTGTTTGATTATGTAGAATGATAGGACGAGAGAGACGGCGGAGTGGTTGCGCAAGGTTCCGGGAGTAACCTATTGTTAATGTACCATGTATTACATAATCTTCAATATCTATAATGATTGAACTTTGTATAACTATGGACTAGGTTAATGATAATTGCTGTAGGACTTTTGACTCACCTAACAATGTCGAAAAGCTTCGAACCAAATCTGTATAATTAGAATTCCACTGCCTGAAGTGTCTTGCTGTAACAGGGATAGTTAAGCGGTAACATCGAAATGCAGGGACCTTTTTGAAACTATGTTGTTTTAAGAACAGGTTTAACAAGAATTTTATTTTCTGTTAGATATAGACCATTATTCAATGTTATTTTTATCCATCAACTTACATAGTATAACATAAGGCAAATTTCCAATTTACAGAAATTTCATGAAAATATATCATCAGAACTAGACAAGTCTTATCACAGTAATTACATTAAATTAATCATTACAGATTATTAACGCATGAAAACACAGTTCCATGAATATTATTTCTGGAGATTGTTCTGTTCTGTATTGATTGGGAGAATAATATTAGTATGATGGCTTTTTTTATTGAAGAGGAAAAAAAAGTATGGCTGAGTTTGAAATGTAAAAAATACAGGTAGGGTAATAAAGGAAGCGCTCTATAACAGAATGTTGTACTTAAACTTTTAACAATATAAATATAATGAATATACTTGTGTTCTTAAGGAGTTTTGTATTAGTTTTAATAAAATTAATATTTTTGTTCATGGTTGCAGGAAACCAGAATGAAAGACTGTTTGGATTTCTGTTAGCGTCAAGATAAGGAACATTGTGTTTTGAAGCAGAATTGGAGTTCACTGACTTTTTTCTTACCAGGTAATATATAAATATAGTAATTAATTACCATTATTGTCCTTTAAATTGTGAAAGAGGAAGATCAATATTGACATAATTGGTGAAAAAGCTTCAGATATTTCAACATGTTTCACTAACTAGTTTCATCAACTTGTAATCATTTTGGAATAATAAACTTTGATGGTAAGAAGTGGTACTTCTTAATAAAGGTTTGGAATTTTGTTGTCATGATGTTTCTGCAGCTGTAAACAATTTTTTTTTTTATGAAAGCAGCATTTTTTCAGTTGTAAAGTTGGCATTTAGGAAATGTAAAGGGTATTTCTTTAAATTGGGAAGGAATGTTATATCGGCTGGTGAAATATTTCTTAATGTTCACTTGGCTTATTATCTGGAAAAAAAGTGATCCCTCTCAATGGTAAGCATTAAAAACAGAAAAATTACATGAAAATTGCAGACACTGTTTGATTGAATCTGTACATGAGGGATAATAATCCCTCACACCCCTAGCACCTGCTTGAGCGGTACTCAGTTCACAACACTAAAAGTGCTGGACTCAATGATCCCGAAGGACCAGTAAAAAAATTAAGTTTTGTTTATACCGGTATTTTTATTTATTTTGCAACTTCATATCACAACAACTACAGAAGGTATTTTCTTAAATTTTTGGATATAAATCACAAATAACTAGCAGTTTTAAAATCAGCGTTATTTGTATTGTTTTATCAATTGCAAGATCAATTATACTCCCAATTCAGGACAGATAACTCTTGGTTTTCATTCGATATTCCATGGTTATTTACTTAGTTCATATAAATTCTATTGTAAGCAGTGTTTATGGATGTATTGTAATTTTGAACTATCATTCAGTGGTCATAGCCCCTTTTGTATACAACTAATAGATGTTTAAATCTCATTAGCAGATTAATTGTTCACATATATTTCTCTATGGGTTTATCACCACTTCCATATTGATGATGCAAAATATCACCAAGATTTATATCTAGAATATATCACATGTTAATTGCCTTCCAGGAATATACAATTGGTATCTGTTTAGTAGTAGCAAATGAACCTATTGTATATGCTTCAGTTCTAATAATTGGGGTACAACTGAAGGCATAAAAGAATGTTGAAATAATGCTGAAAATATTCAAATGAAAATACTTAGCTGTTAACAGAGGTATTTTATTGTGAAGATTCTGTTTAGAACAGAAGGAAATAACTGTAATTCTACGGAGATTAATTACACTTAAATGCATGATTTGTAGCTTGGAATTTTAATTTTCAAATATTTAGTTTCCAGATATGATAAGGGAACATTGTTATAGTCTCATTATTATTATTTATCAGTATAACAGCAAATATTGGAATAGTGTCATTATATATATTTGTTAATATTACAACTTGATTTCAATATTTAACCCTTACCCCACAAATACAACTTATATGGACTTGTCCATCTTTAAATCTGGACTAAATCATTCATCAGTTTTAGGGATAATTTTCAAAATAAGCACTGGCTGTGCACATGAATCTATTATAAACGGTTGTGCACCATCAAGCTTGAACAGTAAAAATTTGTATGCCAGGAAGGGAGTGGGGGGCGGGGTGGTTAGCTTGGAAAAACCCACATTTGCCGTGTTTCATGAATAACAACTATTGTCCAGTCACCCATTTTTCCAACAAAGATTATTTAAAATGAAAGGACTATAATAATATTAACATGTAGTCATTGTGATTTAATTGACTGGTAAAAACCTTAATGCCTTTCACACATGTGAGTTGTCTAAGAACTCAAAAGAACTCAAAAGGCATTGGTGTTGTTGTTACCTCAGAAGCATAAATCATATAGAATGCAATTTACAGGTGTATTTATTTTACATTGGTCGTATTTTTTAAAAAAAGATGGATATGATTATCATATAATCTTACAAAATTGTTAAGCAATGATTAATCCTCTTTTTCCTTATTAAGACTGATTGATGTGTTAGATCCCTTGTCCAGTCTTTAAGTGTTAATCCTTCACACCAGTAAATACGAAATTAGTATTACCGTCATAATCTTTAAGGAACTTTGTGACATTTTTAAACAATTGTTACCTGGACTGTATAATAATATAAATATATTATCTGCACAATAGCAGATTTTATTCTTCTATCCTGCACTGTTCAAATGTATGTATAAAGTTGTTAATGAAATAAAGTTTGGATCTATTAAGTGCATGAAGAAAAGGAAAAGAAATGAATTTATTAACATAGATTGTTTGAGATAGGTAACTTGTTATTATTCAGCTCTTGTTTATTATAGAAATCATTGTGTTTATTGTTTCAATTCTTAATAGACAGATCTATATGTAAATGCAATGGGGGGGGGGGGGCTCTTACAGTTACTGCAATATGCAGTTCTATTGTACATGGCCGATGTAAATATCGCAGTTAACTAAGCATAATTTATATTACAACTGCCAATTTTTAATTAATGAGTTTAAAAAGTTTGCACTGTGAATTGGCCTTACCATATTTGACAGTAGGTACACTGTGAAGTATGCCCAGTGTTCATTGACCTAAAATTAATGCCCAACAGTAATATGAATAAATGGCTCAATATAATGTGTGCATCTAATGTGCATCAAGTAAGATAATTTGACTATACAGCAAATTATAACCTTTACATGCATGAATGGTGACATGTCCGGGGTTGTACTCTCAGTTCCTGAATCATGGTGGATGGTCACGTAGGATACATACATAGGAAATGTGCACTCACATCAACCGTGTGTATATTTTATCTCTGTACATTAAGTTGTAACTGTTCTAATTCTCTTTTGTTGTTTTATTTTATTATTGTATTTTATTATGAAAATATTTACATAAACTATTATGTTTACCTACTATTATTATGTAAAATAGAATATGTTTTTAGTGTATTGAGCAGGAATTATAATTTTAGGTACTTCTTAATTACACTTCTTGTAATACTGAAAGTAAATTTCATAGATATAGACTTGACCTGAAAATGATTTGTAAAAATTGAATGATTTGTAATGAAAAGTTAAAATGTTTAATTGTGTGAATTTTACTTATATATAATTAATGTATTGTAAATATTTAGTAAATATTTACTAGGAATTTCATGTATGATAGTTTAAATGTGTTGTTAGAAACACAAATTAACTTATTCTGGAGAGTAGATTCTGGATTTTAAAAACTTTAAAATATATCTATGATTTTATCAAAGTGTTGCACATGGAATTATGTTTAATGACTAAAATGTCTTGAATTGCTTATTTTCAAGTGTAGGTAAATTTAAACCATAGACAAATCTTTAAAATGATATAAATCACTGTACTATTTACTGTTGCATTACCTAGAAAACAAATGTCTCTCTGATTTGATGAAGTAACATAGTTGCCTTATGAGTGGACTGGATAAAAATGATAAACTAGGGTCTGAAAACTGCTAGGGAACCAGTAATTAATAAAACTTTTAAATTAAAAAAAGTAATAGAATTAAAAATTCTGCAGTGTCTCGCAAGGAAACTATAATGTTACTCCTGTATATTACAGAAATCTTTTGAGAAATATAAATTTTATAAATTGATGACTACAATATCTTATTTCTCTATTTACTAATGGCCATATTTTCTTGATTATCAGATTTTACTGACATTTTCACCCCTAACTGAACATCTTGGCATAATTATATATATTTTTTCAGGGCAAATTGTAATTAATATCAAACCAGGTGTACAGTAATGAACTGTACCAGTAATGTTTTATAATGATTTATAAACCAGTTTCAATTCAGTATAACCTTTGCAAAGTAACACCCTGTTGGAGACAAATAACTTAGTTGGTGCCAAGAGTCTGTGCTGACATTAGAGGTTAAAATTTCTGTGAAGACTTTCCCGGGCTTTGATAATTGATATTAAAGAGGTCCGCTCTGCAGAGCTTATACTGTATTTAGTAATTAACCAATTAACAGAATACCCAGCATTAAATACATAACACTGTACTTATGTATATAAAGATAGTTTAAGATACTGATCAATATAACATTTAAATAGTGGCATTGTTGGTAGTTCTCACTCTATGTCATGACAGTAAGCCACTTTGAATTTACTAGAGAACAGTTTAGTCACCGCATTATTCCTGTCAAGCAGTTTACCAGTAGTAGTTATCTTCACTTTCGAAAGGAACTAATAATTTCTTTAGATGCCGGAGCAGAAGTTCAGTGTAATTGACTAAAGAAATGATTTTATGATCAATCATAATTAAAGTGACCTGCAATATCCGGGAATCAAACCATGCTGCCCGATTCACGGTCCAACCCATTGAGCTAACCAGACGCCATTACATTTAAGTATTTTTTTCTGTATATTACAGGGCATGGACTGTACATGTATGGAGCTAGCACTGGAAGGTGAGAGGTTATGTAAGGCAGGTGACTGTCGTACTGGTGTACAATTCTTCGAGGCCGCAGTGAATTCTGGGACAGATGATCTCAAGACCTTATCTGCCATATACAGTCAGTTAGGAAATGCTTATTTTTATTTACAAGAATTTGGAAAAGCCCTCGAATATCACAAGCATGATCTCAACCTTGCCAGGTATGTATAGCTCTTAAACATTTGTGTTTTTGAACATCGAGATTTCTTATCAGTAAAATATTTATAAATTTAAAAGATAGATTATCACTAAAATAGGTTTATAGCATTCTTAAATGGTCTAGCTTGGCCTCCTGTTAGGGCACATTCAACATGAAAATAGAAAAGAAAAAACCAATAATAAATTCTGATAAACCAATGGACAGATATATCAAGTCTGTTAAACGGAAGTTTATTAAATCTATTTCAATTTTACTGGTGGCTGAGTGGTTAAGACGTTGACTTCATATCACTTGCCCTTCACTGTTGAAGGTTTGAATCCCACCATGGACTTTGGATTCTTTCATTTCAGGAAGCTATCCAGCTCATTTAAAAACATAGGTGGTTTGGCTTTGGTGCCCACTTGTGCCTGAAATAATGCACGAAGGGGCATGTGAGGTCTTTCTCCACCAGTAAAATTGGGAAGTTGCTAAATGACCTTTACTGTGTGAAGTAAATTCCAGCTAATAGGAAAAAAAGTAAATTTGAATGTAAAAGCTTAAGAAAAGCCCAGGGTTTGTCTCACAGAGATTTTGTGTTTGGTACAGCCATACTACATTGTATGGCATAAGTGCTACTTAGTTTCTAGAAGAACTATAATAAATATACCTGAAATGGCTCCTTTGTTGAATAAGTGGATTGATAATTATTATACTTACCATTTAATGCAACATTAGGTGATGCAACATTTTTTTCAGCTAAGCAATACATGGTCATCTAGGTCCCATGTTTGATCTTGCACTGTTATAATAGCTTTAGGCAGAAAAATAAATCAAATGTCCTCTTTTGTCTCCATCTATATCTGGGAAATGCAACTTTAAGTTTTGATAATATAACTTGAATGAATAATGATAAACATAGGTTTCAAGAAATAATTTGCTTTATTTCCTAAAATGAATATGATTGTTCTTATTGTAGGACTCTGGGTGACAGAGTTGGTGAAGCTAAAGCAAGTGGTAACCTCGGTAACACATTAAAAGTTCTCGGAAAATTTGATGAGGCTATAGTCTGCTGTCTACGACATTTGGATTTATCGAGGGAACTTAAAGACAGGGTACGTTACCAAACATTACAATATTATATTAGAATAGATGGTGTCTGTTTGACATGTTTGTGTGAAAATGTATAGTTTAGATGTTCGTATTGTTACGTTTTCTCTTCTAACATGTCCATATGGTTTTGAATTATAATATAACAGATTATCCAGTGTTCCATATCAGTTTAAATACAGAACATTTCTATTCATATTTTATAAATCTTGAACAAAGGACTGTATGAGAATGAAGTTTGTATGCATACTAGAGGTCAAAATGTAGAGAAATACATTGGTATACAGTAAACCTTAAACTCCTTATTGGCCTAGATATATTTAACATTACAAATATACGATGTAAAATTCTGAAAAAAGAAAGATATAACATTTGTATAGATAATGAAATAAAATGCATTTTAAGTACTTTTCTTAGCCCTTGATTTGATTTCCCATAACACATCAGTGATTGTTGCCTAGCAACCAGTTTTGCAACATCTTAAAGATTTGTTTCCATAAATAGCAAGTGGCTGTCTGCTATAGTAGACATTTACATGTTTCTAGGGAATGGTGAGATGTGTTTTGATTACTGTACTAGGACATTTATTCTGAGGGAAGTTTATATAAGTATTTATACAACAGACGACATTTATCAAATTGTGAAGCAGAAGATGTTTTCCTAGTTGTTTGTGGGTTGTTGTTTTTTGGCTCTTTTTGTAAAACTTGGAAGATGCCTCATACAAGATTACAGTAACTTAAAGAGAGAAGTTTAATAGAATTTTTATGTATTCTTCAAATTGGGGGTAAAAGATAATATTTGACCAAAATAATAATATAGATTTTATAGGAAATAATTGGAAACATGCCAACTTTCAATGTTTTGTTTATTTTTAATAACAACTTTTTTAAAAGTAATCCACATTTTATATACTTTTTATATTGACTGAATAAGTTAAAAATAGCACCAAAGCTGGTAGATTGATTATTACCCAATGTTACCTATGTTGTTATTCAATATTCATTACTCCTAATTTTACCAAGTTTACCTCCATACTAAAATTCCTACCATGCTAGCAGCAACAGAGTCCTGAACCATGTGACCTGAGTGCAGACCAAGATCAGCTGGCTCAAATACACGCCTCCCCCCACCCCCTGGACGGTTACTGCACTGTTGGCTAGCCTATGGAGTTGAAATGATAAAATAGTTTTGTCCAGATTGAAAGGCCATTTAAGATATTTAGTGTAGTAAGGGTAAATAGTAAAAAGCAATGTGCAGGCAACGTTTGGTCATGTAAATATTTTTGTCTGAATATGTAACTATTATCTTAGGACGTACCTTTAGGGTACAAGTGTAATGAATATATAGGGGAAAAAAGAAGAAATGGAAAAGTAACGATATTGTCACAACAATTTTGAATCATGTTAAGTACAACCTGTACAGATCAACACCCTTTTGGGATACAAAGATTTTAGTTGTGAGGGTGTCTGTTCTGTAGAGGTTACGTGTATTGTGAAGTCTTACCAATGAAACATTTATAATCAGTTCAATAAAAACAAACGCTTTTCTTAAGCTTTCGACGTTTAGTCTTCTTCAGAAAAAATTGACGTTTATAACATAACAAATGACAAATGACGCAACGTCCGTTTAAGTATACGCTAAACAGAACGTGACGTTAACGCGGGAATAAAAACTTTGTCAAATAAATACAGAATCTTTCATGAATATAAATACAGCAATATACAATAAATTACACATATAATATGGATCTGCACATGTGATACAAAAATTCTCATAATTAATAATAATAAAAAAAAAAAAAAAAAAAAAAAAAAAAAAAAATTTTTTTTTTTTTTTTTTTTCAATGAATCATTTGAAACTGTTGTTATCAAGAGGTTATTGCTCTACAAAGGGTCACTTGTGTGAAGGATGCACTGTATTTTTAAAGAAATTTCTTCCTCTGAAGTTTCTGCTTTTTTTTTTCTTCAGAGAAAACAAATTTTACCCAAAGAAATCTTGAAAGATATGCATCTCTTGAAAGCATGTTGCTCTCAGAAGCATGTTGCTCTCAGCATTGCACACATTTATTTCCTCATTTCCTGCTTAAATGTATTTTAAAACAGATTCTGATAGATTTTGTAATTCACACGAGAACTGGAATTGTTACAACTACGGTTGTTATGGCAGCAAAAAAATGTGTCATGTGAGTTAGGAACTGTTAACATTTCAGAACTTAATGTGCTGAAATTTGAAATTTGTATGAAGTGGTGGTGTAATGATGCTACAGAAAGCAATGCTAGTAATGAACCTCTGGTGTACAGGAATTTATAATATAATTTGTTATAATGGTCGAGAAGGTAAAGAAGTAACTGAGTGCTATATTGATTCAAATATGAAGTAAATGAACAATTCTGATTAGGGTTGGCTGCGGTCGGGGAGGGGAATGGAAGGGGTGGGGGTTAACAGGGGTGATGCATGTTGGGGCCAGTCCCTTGAGACCATAAGGAAACAACTTACAGATTAAGTTATCCAGTTTCATTAGTGTAACATTACATTGTAAAAAGCCTTTTTGATTGGTATACATGTATTTAAAAGGCCTGTCTGGCTGTCAGTATCTCTATAGCCACTCTTATTTTAATAGCTATGTATACTGCATGTATACATGAAAAATTACTTTTCATTAAGAAGAATGCAATAGCTTGATATTAACTTGTCTTTAAGTGCTGTCTTAAAGGCCTAGCATGCAACATAACCAACACATGTTTTTGTATGATCACTGGCAACATAAAAACTTTCACTGGCTTTCTTTAAAATTTAGGGCATTATTATACCCCCACAAACGAAGTTTAGGGGGGGTATATAGGAGTCAGCTTGTCGGTCGGTCGGTCGGTCGGTCGGTCGGTTGGTCCGTCGGTCGGTCCACATCATGGTTTCCGGACGATAACTAGAGTTTGGAATGAGGTATTGTAATCAAACTTGGTATATAGCAACCTTATGTGGAAACTCCAGTTGGTATTGCATTTGGACCCCCTGGGGTCAAGGTCAAGGTCACCGTTACTAAAAATAGAAAAATGGTTTCCGGACAATAACTAGAGTTAGGAATGAGATATTGTTATCAAACTTTGCGTATAGCAAGCTTATATGAAGACCTGGGTTGGTATTGCATTTAGGCCCCCTGGGGTCAAGGTCAAGGTCATGGTTACTAAAAATAGAAAAATGGTTTCCGGACAATAACTTGAGTTAGGAATGAGATATTGTAATCAAACTTGGTGTATAGCAAGCTTATATGAAGACCTGGGTTGGTATTGTATTTGGACCCCCTGGGGTCAAGGTCACTGTTACTAAAAATAGAAAAATGGTTTCCGGACAATAACTAGAGTTAGGAATGAGATATTGTTATCAAACTTGGTGTATAGCAAGCTTATATGAAGACCTGGGTTGGTATTGCATTTGGACCCCCTGGGGTCAAGGTCAAGGTCACCGTTACTAAAAATAGAAAAATGGTTTCCGGACAATAACTTGAGTTAGGAATGAGATATTGTAATCAAACTTGGTGTATAGCAAGCTTATATGAAGACCTGGGTTTGTATTGTTTTTGGACCCCCTGGGGTCAAGGTCAAGGTCACCGTTACTAAAAATAGAAAAATGGTTTCCGGACAATAACTAGAGTTAGGAATGAGATATTGTTATCAAACTTGGTGTATAGCAAGCTTATATGAAGACCTGGGTTGGTATTGCATTTGGACCCCCTGGGGTCAAGGTCAAGGTCACCATTCCTTAAAATAGAAAAATGGTTTCCGGACAATAACTAGAGTTAGGAATGAGATATTGTAATCAAACTTTGTGAAAAGCAAGCTTATTTGGAGACCCCAGTTGGGATTACAATTAATTGAAATATTTCTTTGTACACAGTTGATAGTTTGTGTTGAAATTTTTCTTCAGACTACTTATTTTTCAAAAAAGTTGCTGGTGGGGGTATTAATCACCTTCAGTGATAGGTCTAGTTTATATATATTTTAGGGTAGTATAATGGTAGTTACCTCTGCATGATGTTACAAAAATTGAACACTTACCTACATGAGTTAGAGACTATAGAATGACCCGTGATTGATTGTTTTCTTTCAAACTGACCCATATTCAATTGTGAGTTATATTGTATAGTGAGATGAGTTTTAGTGAGATAATGTAAATACATATATTCACTGCCCAATGAGTGATGTTTTCTGGGGGGTTACATGTTGTCTGCATCAGTTTATCTTGTTGCAAAAAATTGATGATCAATTAAGACAGCAATTATCAAGCAATTACTGATCAAAGGTAACGTGTGTCAACACTGTTCAGTAATCACTATTCAGTCATTATTTATGTTGAAATTTTCCCCTTAAAAATGCACGCCTCCTCCGGATGAGCAAAAATATTTCAAGAATATCAATATTGAGAAATATGTACTAACATTTAAGAATGGTAAAAACATTCAAGATCCAAGTTAAATTTTATATGTTATGTGCGGTTAAAGACTGATTTTGCAGTATTTTATCACCATATTTCTACTGTGTTACTAACAATGCAGTAAGGGCTAATTTTGCATAATGTGTTGACCACTTTCTGGTACTTTTCTTAGATTGTAAGTGCTGATTGCAGTATGTAAATGACTTTATATGGCCTCACAATATTTTACTTTCAAATATATTTTCATGAAAATTAACACAAATCTGGAGGCATGCTGCTTTAAAACAATGAATAGTTTTTGTCCTTCATTCAATATCTGGACAGGTCAATTGATACATTTAGCATGGTAAAGGGTGAATGTTCCCTGTTAGTGTTTTCCCAAATGTAAATGACATTTTTCTGTATCAACAGCTTATTGATTGAAATGTACAAAGCCTGCCTTGATATAATCTGCTGATATTTTATTGTGATTAAAACTTTGTCTTTTTTTACATCCCTGGTTACAAAGATATGAGCTTTATATTTATGGAGGATTAATTGGCATTATAAGAGGGAGAACGAAGTCAGCTTATACCCTCCTGAAGCTTGAATCAAACAATTTAATTATCCTTTCATATTAGAAGTTTATTGGGTACATGCTTTAATAAAGCTTGAATGATACGTATATTGATTTTAATATATAAAAAACTTTGTATGAAAATAGACTGAACTATAATTATGTGATGTTGATAGTGATTAGATGTGTGAATGTCAACATGCCAAGTGTAAACATTAGTATAATGACTTATAATAATGAATAACAACAAGCTTGCATTCTTAAATGTCAACAGGTTGGTTACTGAATGTCAGCTAGCTGGTTTGTAAACATTAAGTTACTGAATATCAGGTAGCTGGGTGTAAACATTAGATTAACAAATGTTAGCAGGCTTTGTGTAAACATTAGATAAACAAATGTTGGCAGGCTTTGTGTAAACATTAGATTAACAAATGTTAGCAGGCTTTGTGTAAACACTAGATAAACAAATGTTAGCAGGCTTGGTGTAAACATTAGATAAACAAATGTTGGCAGACTGGGTGTAAACATTAGATTAACAGATGTTGGCAGGCTTTGTGTAAACATTAGATTAACAAATGTTAGCAGGCTTTGTGTAAACATTAGATAAACAAATGTTAGCAGGCTGGGTGTAAACATTAGATAAACAAATGTTAGCAGGCTTTGTGTAAACATTAGATAAACAAATGTTAGCAGGCTTTGTGTAAACATTAGATAAACAAATGTTAGCAGACTGGGTGTAAACATTAGATTAACAAATGTTGGCAGGCTTTGTGTAAACATTAGATTAACAAATGTTAGCAGGCTTTGTGTAAACATTAGATAAACAAATGTTAGCAGGCTGGGTGTAAACATTAGATAAACAAATGTTAGCAGGCTTTGTATAAACATTAGATAATTAAATGTTAGCAGGCTGGGTGTAAACATTAGATAAACAAATGTTAGCAGACTGGGTGTAAACATTAGATTAGTGTATGTCAGCAGGCTGGGTGTAAACATTAGTTTAGATAGTGTGTATGCCTGCACTTGCATTTTAGTTCCATTAGCTTCACATAATATGCATTATCAGTCCTGAGTAGCGAACTCTGAATCTGACCCGACATGTGACTCTCATAATCAGTTGATATTATGACCAGTTATGTTTCTATTTAAAGTAACAGGTGTATTTATATCTTTTAATTAGTATTTATATTTATTATACAGATTGGTGAGGCAAGAGCATTATATAATTTAGGAAATGTTTATCATGCCAAGGGAAAACATACGGGTAGAAGTGGGAACCAAGATCCAGGTGAATTCCCTCCTGAAGTTAAAGATTGTCTTGTCAAAGCTGCTGAATATTATGAGTAAGTATATAATGATAACTTTATTTATGAGATTTTGTAGGACTCAATTCCCTTGTTGGTGAAATAATGAGGAAACTTATAATGTAAAATGCTTGGAATATTTTACCAGCATTTGTCTCATTGGTTTGTCAGTGGTACTAAAAGAAACATATTTAATGCGACTTAAAAAAGAACTTTGACAAAAGTAAAACTAATGTCTATAAAAAAATGATGTAAGGTATGTTACTTCAAAACGCACCACATGGCTGGGGGTTAGAATCCTGTCAGGGACATTGAATTCTATAATGTAGGTAGCCATCCAGCTAGGTTACAGAAGGCCAGTGGTTCTACTCGGATGTCAGCTAAAATAATGCATGGAGGGATACTTCTCCACCAGTAAAGCTGGAAAGTCACCATATGACCATTACAATGTAAGTGTGAAAAAAGAAAAATAGAACAATAAATGATAAGGATGATTTATTATAAATTAGTTAATATACTATTGAAAAATATCATCAATTTTATTTTTCAGGGCTAATTTAAATATAGTGCAGGAATTGGGTGACCGTGCTGCCCAAGGTCGTGCATGTGGAAACCTGGGAAATACTCATTACCTTCTAGGCAACTTCAGCCAGGCCATCATCTATCATCAAGAGGTGAGTACACGTATATTGTTTTGGTTCTTTTCTTAAAACAGCTCACCTGGTCACATCTTTGTAAAATGGTACATATGAAATATTAAGGGGGGGGGGGGGGGGGGAAACAGTGAAAGTCAATTATGGACAAATAGTTGCTCCATTCCTAATTTTGGGCATAAATAGTTGCTCCATTCCTAATTTTGGGCATAAATAGTTGCTCCATTCCTAATTTTGGGCATAAATTGTTGCTCCATTCCTAATTTTGGGCATAAATTGTTGCTCCATTCCTAATTTTGGGCATAAATTGTTGCTCCATTCCTAATTTTGGGCATAAATAGTTGCTCCATTCCTAATTTTGGGCATAAATAGTTGCTCCATTCCTAATTTTGGGCATAAATTGTTGCTCCATTCCTAATTTTGGTCATAAATACTTGTTCCAGTCCTAATTTGGGGCATTAATGATTGTTCCGGTCCTAATACGGGGCATAAATGATTGTTCCGGTCCTAATTTGGGGCATAAATGATTGTTCCAGTCCTAATACGGGGCATAAATGATTGTTCCGGTCCTAGTTTGTGGCATAAATAATTGCTCCATTATTTCTTATTGGGAATAGGTTTGATGCACATTATATACATACTACGAATTCACTTATATTCGTGGGCATGAAATTTCGTGGTTTTATCAAAATAGGCATTTTCGTGGGTTCTTAAATTCGTGGATTTTCGTTTTCTTGTTTAGAAAAATTCAGTAACCTAATGCAAAGTAATCTTAAACTTAATCACCGAACATTTTTACTTACAACATGTACATATCTTTCATACTTGTCACACAGCGCTTGTCAATAAATTTAATCCTTGCCTCTAGGCATAACTCTAATATAGCACAATTACTGCCGATAATTGACTGCAATTAACACATTAATGTGACATGATATGCACCTCCATTGGACACACTGCCCCTGTAAATCGCCGAATTTATAAGTTTTGTGTACGTACGACATTAATATCAAAGACTTTTTTTAAATTAATAAGTCTCAGCATTCTTGTTAACACAATCAAGTTCTAGTAGACTATAATCGAGTTTTCTTTCAAGTTTCTTAAATATTGCAAACAGATTTAATATGTCAATAACCTGATTATCTGTCTGTAGATATGAGCTGCGTCACAATAAAACCAACATAGTGCGTTTGCGAGCAGCATGGATCCAGACCAGCCTGCGCATCCACACAGTCTGATCAGGATCCATGCTGTGCGCTTACCAACTCTATTACAAGTGGAGAAACTGATAGCGAACAGCATGGATCCTGGTCAGACTGCACGGATGCGCAGGCTGGTCTGGATCCATGCTGTTAGCAAACTCATTATGTTGGTTTTGTCGTCACACGGCTCAAATATATATTTATTACAATAAGTATATACAGTGATGGTCATAGAGTTACTAACGATGGTCATACTTAACGATGACAAGAGTAGAGTTATTTTAGTCCTAATGATAGCTATATAATATACACGAGCTCATATATAATATCTGCTAGTGATAATGATCTGTAACAATTATCATTTCCTAAACTGTTGCATTTATTGACAGATGATCATAGATTATTACAGTCTAAAGAATTCATAAAATAAGGGGGAAAAAAGTAACTACCGCTTATCTATAGAAAATACAAAAGTTGTGATTTAAAAAAAGTTTATATATGGATACTTTATTTTATGTTAATATTGTCTTGAATTCAGGAATATATGTTAGGGACAGGAACTATTCATAGTGAAAATGATACACATATGATATGTACAAACAAATATACAGGTACTGTGCTCATGGTCATTATGTTATCATTGTGCTTGGAATAAAATTTGAAACACACTATCAAATGGTCAATGTTTATGTGAACAACAGAGGATATATCATTACATGTATATAATAGTATATAGCTGTTAATGGACATCAAGTATCAGTTATTGTTGTTACTTTTTTTAGAGCAGGTGAACACATCCATTATAGAGATTTAATGATGGCCTAATGTTTGTCTTCATGGGTTGTCATTTGTTGTCTTCACTCTTGTAAAAACATATTCCCAAATTCTGGGGAAGATAATTATTTAATAAAGGATTTGGTTTTCCATAAAGATATTTATATGTCTGTAACTGTTGTACATTGTAGAAAATTTTAAACTCACCTGTACTTGGTAGGCAATGCTTGTATCTCTACTGTACATTATAGACAAGGTTTTTAACTACAGTACATTTTATATCAAGGTCTGTAACCAATGTACCCTGTTGCAGAGTGCTTCAAACAACTTGCCTCTTAAGGCTGTAAGTTCAAGCTTTGCAAGGGTCTTTGGATTCTTTCATGTGAGAAAGCTATGAAAGCTAGCTTATGGAATGTCAGTGGTACTACTCGGGTGCCCATTTGTGCACAGAGTGGCACCTGACGTTAAAGCTGGAAAGTTGTCTTTGACTTAAAGTTACTCAACTTTGAGCCATCTCCACTCAATGTGTCTAACAACAATAAATATATTATTATTGAAGCTGAAAAAGCCCATATTTTCACAAATACCATTGGTGCAGGTTTATGTACATGTAATTATCAGACTTTAATTAAGTCAGGTATTTATATATAAAGTCAATTAATGAGAGCTGCTACAAGGTTCTCACTGATGCCTCTCTATAGTGTTTGAAAATGGGGGAAAAATTGTAATTACTAGATTATCATCAAGTTCTGTTGGAGGAAACTCTCATATCTTTAATTAAAGTTTATAGACAGTGTTATCATCGTTTGAACTACAGTCATCATCAACCCCAACTCTCTCACTTCTAAGTGAAGATTCTGTGAATCATCATTAATTGAGGGAGATATTGTTTTATAGATATTTCTTATCATCACCTTTTTTCATTTAATGAGCTTATTCATTTATAGAAATTTATTTCTTGATGATATGTATCTTATATATAATATTATATAGTCATGTAATGAAAAAGAAAATCCAATTAGGTTAAGCCTTGTCCTACTTATTTGCCAAGTTAGAATGCAAAATTTTGAAAAAGAATTGACAATTTATTTTACTGTCCTCTGTAGTATTGATTTAACTATTTATTGTACATCTCTTATATCTTGATAAACACTACACGTGCCTACAAAAAAAGGTCAAAAGATAAATTAGACAGTAATAATTAAAAAATTAAATGTTAAAATAGTTATATTTTCTTATTAATAGTGTCTAACTATTACTTGCTTTTAAAATTTCGGGTATTTTATATCATTTAACTGACCTTGTTTGTACATACAGATTTTAAAGAAGACACAACAATTCAAAATGTTTGCTTCATTAAAAAGTAAAATATTTTAATGTAGTACCAACACTGTCATAGATTTTTACCATTCATTACACACCTGGCATACACTTTAGCTGTATACCCAGTTCCACCAATTTGTTACTAGACATAGAGGAAGAATTATTCTAGTCTGCCATGAAGTTACTTGTCTAGATTACTAATCAAAATTAGTTACTGTAGTTCTTGGTTCCAAGTGAAGTGTAGTCAAGTTCTTTGACAAAGTCACAGGCTACAGCCATTTTACAATAGGATATTAAAATGGTTCACTGTCTATATGTTCGGACCTTGATTAACTTAAAGATAGTATCTAAACTTTAGCTATATGTTTAAATTCACAAAAATGAGTAAACAGTCTGTCACCAGATAAACATGCTTCATGTTATTTGGAAATTATTTAACCAAGAAAGATAACACTGGTAAAGTTTTAAAGAAATTCATTAAGATTTGTCTCCCTTACTTTCAATGGGTTTTTTTGTAGAAAATTTTAGAGGATGCTGCCAATTTTTCAATCATCTAGTTTCACCTGTGCTCCAACTCTTTAATGATATACCATACCTGAATTTCTTATAATTTGGAATTGGAATTTAATCAGATGTTATAAATATAGATGTTATAAAGATCTTTTTAGCTGCAACTTTCTAATAAGAAGTAGAGCTATTGTCTCATTACTCATTCAGTGGGCTTGGTTAAATTTTTGTTTTTAGTCATTAACTTAAATACTAAGAAAGCTATTGAAACATTAATATGTGGATGCATCTTGATGGGTTCTATGTGTCACACCAATGTTCAGGCCAAAAGGTCAAATTCACTGGAACCACTGTACTTATAGTAGCAAAACATAAAATTGGTCATTAAATCAAAGAGCAGTTTACTATCTAGCACCCAGATGTTGCTCTTCAAATAGCTCTTGTTTATTGTTGAGTTATTATTCATTAAAATTCATGTTATTTATCATATAGTGAAGTATGTGTTTTCATGTCCAAGTCATTATAACCATGTTTTCTTTTCGGTGGTCAGTGCTTTATTAGGTTAAATGATGATATAAAGTCTAATTGTAGTTATTGCAAGATGCCCAGCTTCTACAGCTTTAATTGCTATTTTGTAGCCAACAAAATATTTTCTGTTAACTGAATCATATCAAGGTAATGAATGATGTGTATATCTATATTTTTTATTTTATCCATTAATATGAGTGGTATAAAATCACCACTTAACCCGAAGTGAAGTATCACTTGAATATATTGTTAACTTAAAGATATGAAATGTAATTATTGTTTGATACAATTTTTTTTCTGATAAAACCTAAATCTGTTTTCTGATGTCAGTATATCATTTGTAAAAGAAAAATCTTAAAAGACTAAGGCCCCGAGAGCATCAGATAAATAATTAAACAGTCGCTGGCTTGATCCACTAGCCTAGCGGAAATTCTTTATGACCATTGATATCAGACATTGGTGTCTCTCAAAACTGATGCAGAGGTTTGTAGTTGGTCAGTTGTAAAGAAATTGGTAATTTCTGGTTAGTAATCCAGCATTTAGCAGGACTGGTTTGGTGGATCAACCTCAAAAATATGGCCCCGACCCCCATTTTAAAAAAATGTGTTAAAATTGGCATAAGAATTGAAAAAGAAAACAAACTGAAGATTAAACGTTTAGCTGAAATAATTCACATGCCAATAAGAAAAGACTATAGAAAATTTTTCATTAGGTAGTAAGTAAATAAATAAGTTATGAATAATATAATAAAATTAATCTTCTAGTCTATCATTATGTATAAGTATATATGCACACAATATAATAATTAAGTGTTATGATGTTACATTGTTAGATTATTATACAATTTGATATAGTTATATTATAATCTATCTTAATTGAGTGAAATTATGTTTTCATTCAGCTTTTAGTGTGCTAAGATTTTTTACCTATTTCAAAATTGCATGTACATGTATTTTATCAGATTCTCATACCTACCATGAAGTAAGGTAAGAAAAAAAGAATTTGTTAGAAAACACTTGAGTTCATACTTTACACATAATAAATGACAGTAACAGAATTATTTGTGATATTTTTTATCTTCAGAGATTGGCTATAGCTCGTGAATTTGGAGATAAAGCCGCTGAGAGAAGAGCCTACAGTAATCTTGGTAATGCTCATATTTTCCTGGGAGAATTTGAAGTGGCAGCAGAACATTATAGGTAAGTTATCAAACCTTCTTTTAATGTTTTTTAAAATGTCTTCATGGTTACATCTTGAAATCGGTTGTTAATTTTCTGTATGTACAAGTCATTGGTTAATGAGCTAACAGTACAGAAGTACAGACTGGCCTGGCTTTATGCTGGCAACATAAGCCTGTCATTAATACTGTAAAGATTTAAAGGCCCATTATCCCTCAGAAATGCTTTCATTTTTATTGACGAAAAACATATAATTTTGGTGTACTCTTATTGTATCCAAAAAAGTTACTCATGGGCCAGTTGTAACCTGAGCCATCTTTTTAATCTGTTGCTTTTTAGCAATAAGTATAGATATAGTGATGTAGTATTTTGTATGGAAGCCAAAATACTATTTTGTGAACATTTTGTTCTTTTGTGACAAATATTTCACATTTATTGATACAGTAAAGACTGTTTACAGTGACCTTCGATGGGAGAAAAGAAAAAAGGTCATTATAGACAGGGAGTCACTGTGGACAGTCTCTACATAATTCGGATATATGAACATATCATACCAATATTTTGTTGAAAAGCAGGATAGTACCATACTAAGGGTTTAATTATATATTTATTGTGCCCCCACATTAGTGGCGGGCATTTAGATTTACCCTTGTCCGTCTGTCCGTCCGTCCTTCCGTCCGTCCTTCCGTCCGTCCGTCCGTTCACTTTTGTGTCGCACGTAACTCAAAAAGTATTTGACCTAGAGTCATGAAACTTTACAGGAATGTTGATCAGCATGTGTAGTTGTGCACCTGGGTATTTTGGTCTGGATATTTTTAGTATTTTCAGAGTTATTGCCCTTGACTTAGTAAAATTTGGCAATTTTCAACTTGTGTCGCATGTAACTCCAAAAGTATTTGACCTAGAGTCATGAAACTTTACAGGAATGTTGATCAGCATGTGTAGTTGTGCACCTGGGTATTTTCGTATGGATATTTTTAGTATTTTCAGAGTTATTGCCCTTGACTTAGTAAAATTTGGCAATTTTCAACTTGTGTCGCATGTAACTCCAAAAGTATTTGACCTACAGTCATGAAACTTTACAGGAATGTTGATCAGCATGTGTAGTTGTGCACCTAGGTATTTTGGTCTGGATATTTTTAGTATTTTCAGAGTTATTGCCCTTGACTTAGTAAAATTTTGCAATTTTCAACTTGTGTCGCATGTAACTCAAAAAGTATTTGACCTAGAGTCATGAAACTTTACAGGAATGTTGATCAGCATGTGTAGTTGTGCACCTGGGTATTTTCGTCTGGATATTTTTAGTATTTTCAGAGTTATTGCCCTTGATTTAGTAAAATTTTGCAATTTTTAACTTGTGTCGCACATAACTCAAAAAGTATTTGACCTAGAGTCATGAAACTTTACAGGAATGTGGATCAGCATGTGTAGTTGTGCACCTGGGTATTTTCGTCTGGATATTTTTAGTATTTTCAGAGTTATTGCCCTTGACTTAGTAAAATTTTGCAATTTTCAACATGTGTCGCACATAACTCAAAAAGTATTTGACGTAGAGTCATGTAACTTTACAGGAATATTGATCAGCATGTGCAGTTGTGCACCAGGTATTTTCGTCTGGATTTATTTAGTATTTTTAGAGTTATTGCCCTTCACGTAGAAAATTTTTGCAATTTTCAACTTGTGTCGCAAGTTTCTCAAAAAGGATTTGACATAGTCAATAAACCTTATAGGCAGGTTGCTCAGCATATTTTAGATTTGCACCTGGGGTTTGGCTTGTGGATTTATCCAGTATTTGTAGAGTTATTTCCCTTGACTTAGTAAAAAGATTGACAGAACAGTGTCGCGGTGGGGGCACCCGTGTCCTATGGACACATTTCTAGTTGATATTAAACATATCAAATATCATTTATAAAAAACAAAAAAGTATTAAACATGTTAAAATTGCATGTATAATTGGGTAAGATTATAAACTACACCATAACATTAATATTTAAAAGTTACATATTCATTAAAATGTAATTTATATTGATAAATCTGTTTGTGAAAAAAATGTTTAATTTCAATTTTACTGATGAAATGTTACTGTAGAGACATTTAATTTTGTATAGTCAGCCTGTTTACTTTACGGAGTTCAATGTATTAATAAAACATAGATACAAATCTTCACATAATTTCTACAGAAAAAAATTTAACAATCGAGGTTTCAAACATAACCACACCTTTAAGACGTTTGGCATTGTTTATCTTTACTTGCCAAAACACCGCAGCAATTATGTATGTATATGCAGGTGTCTTTAATTATTCTATCGGCGAAAATTGATTTAATCTGTCGCCATTTTGTGTAATTGTCAACAAACAGCCACAGTGTATTAGCGTGTCGCCGATTGGTCAATGCAAACTGCTGTAGATACAACGCGCGTTCTGATTCGTCAATCGCATGAATACGTAATGAGAATGATAAACATCATAGTGAACTCTTGCCTTGCGGCGTGTATTGAACTTTGTTGATGTTGACATGCGTTAATTAGCGGATTAACGGTAATTGGTTGTAATTGAGAGGTAAACAAATTATTAACAGACCTAGCGGCGTAAATAAGTATGACGGAAAATTATAAAAATTGCGTGACTTCAAAATCTCTTTGAAGGTTGTTTTTTAGGCAAAGTCGCTGATTCGAAGGCGACTTCTTCGCAAAAGTCGTCACCTAGTTCAAGCCTTGCTCCCCCTGCAAAAGTCGCTGTTCACGGCTCAAATACCGTAACGGGCGACTAAATCATGATGATCGTTGTACGGACTAGACAGGGAGTCGCTACTTACAGACCATTTATATAGTAAATACTGTTTGTCGCACCTAACTATGGTCACTAAAGACAGAACGTCGCTATTATAAAACAGGGGGTCGCTAAGACAGTCTTTACTGTACTTTCTTCAGGTAACAAGCATCTAAAATTCGCTAAAACCATTATTGAAACATTATAGAATTCATGTTTGGTCTTTCTAAAGAAGTAAAAATTTATTTGTTTGTGAGGCATAATTTGCCTTTAACATTTCATACACTTCGTATTTATACATACTACTTCTATAAAAAGACTGTAAAATTATAATCTTTGTACCATAATTTCTTTCCCCGTTCTAGTCATTAGCTCTGTGGGCCACTATTTTCAGGTTCTTTGGTGTTTCTTTTGTTTTGGTTAAAGTTTTCTGTATAAATTATGAATACACTCTCTATATTTAAAAAGAGCTGCACTGAGGTTCAAAGGCCTTAATCTTCAAACTGAAAAATATGCAAAAGATTATAAAGAAATATGTGCAGACTTATTTTGAAAATCGATAGTTTGTGTGATTATTACTCTGATTTGAGTTACGTTTTCGATATTTTATATCATACAAATGTTTTTTCCTGGATAAACAGAGTGAACAAATAATTTGACCCATATCAAATGGTGTAAACAAATCATAGAAAAATTATGTGCTGTCTTTTTATGTAAAAAAAAAACAACCTTAGTTGATTCCCAAACACATTTAACCTTTTTGCACAATTTTTATACAAAAAAAAATGTTCCAGGTATGAAGAATACTACAAATGCAGTTTTCCAAAATTAAACTCTTTTTTTTTTTTATATAATTCTGTATCTGAAAGAACCCTGTGATTTTATAGAGTCTAGAATAGTTAACAAAGTTTACATAACTTCACCTGTTGTTGTTTCCTGTAGAAATTCTTGAAGATAACATCTGGAGAAGATTTCTTTATAAGAAATAATTTGTACAGTTTCTTCTACATGTAGTGAAGTCTTAAATGTTGGATTTTTGGGTTTTGCAAAAAAAGTGTAATTTTGTATTATTGATAAATATTTGTATTTAAACTAATTACAAACAGGATGATGGAATATTCATGGCAATAGTTAAATGACAAGTGAATGGGCAACTCTAAGTATTGCTTCCTTGAAACCAAATTTCTAAGAATTGTTGCCTTGAAAGAAATCTGATAAAATGCATTTCTATAGAAAAATTTAAGAGCTAAGACTAGCATCATTCATTGGAACGGAAAACATTGGTTTAAAGCTAAACTGGTTACTTTGTGTTAAATATTTTAATTTTTTTTATGTATTTTGATTGGTTATAGTTTGATGAATACAATTTCTGTTGGACTACAAATAAAGATGCCAGGAATTCACAAGTTCTTGGTTTTAAAGGAACTTTTGATGCAGAGATACTGTTTCCCTAGAAAGAAAAAAAGCTAGTTTTTCATACAAAAACATTGTTCAGTATTGTGGTGCAACATGAGGAACATTTTTTCTTTGATAAGAAAAAAAAAGAAAAAAAGAAAGAAAATAAGAAAAAAAAAGAGAAGCTATAAATCCATCATCTACAGTTTTTCATGTAAAAACTTTGTACTTTCACAATGAACCACTATGATATAATATTTTTATTGCTGTATAAAAATGTAACATGTACAGGACAACCTCGGCAGAGTAAAACCCTTTGTTAGACAAAGATTGTTTTGTTTCTGAGAGGTGTGGCTCTAGAGAGGTTAAATTTCTTGTCAAACTTTACTTTGGTAAAAAATTGAAACTGTTGTAACAAGGTAATTGCTATATCAAGGGTGGCTTTACACCGTTCTTTATTCTTCTATTTTGTAACTTTAACTAGAACTTGAACTATAAATATGATTTTTTTATTTTCAGGAAAACATTACAAATAGCTAAACAGTTAGGGGATAAAGCCCTAGAGGCACAGGCCTGCTACAGTTTAGGAAATACTTACACATTATTAAAAGACTATGAAAAAGCAATAGAATTTCATATGAAACATTTAAAAATAGCTCAAGAGCTAGATGATAGAGTGGGTGAAGGTCGGGCATGTTGGAGTTTGGGTAATGCCCACACGGCACTTGGGAGGAATGAAGAAGCTATACGCTATGCCAGCAAACATCTAGAAATCTCAAAAGAGGTAGGAAATATCTTTATCACAATTTGTGACAAACCGTGTTTCTTTCAATATATATTTATGGAATTCTAAACATTTACATGGGGAGCTGATGTTGTCAAGTATTTGGACATGAGCTTTGCGATTAAGTCATCAGATAGAGTTCTGTCAGGGACTTTTCTCGAGCAAGTAATTAACTCTACATTGCCTCATTTCATGAAGGTGTAAATGGATATTGTATGGAGGAAAATTGAATTGTAGTTTTAATTATGTCACCACTTAGCATATAGAGTTGCCCCATTTCTATGTTATGTTTTGCATTAATTTATAATCTGAAAAAAAAAAAAGAGAATAAAGAAAGAACACCATCAACACAAAAATGTTCCTATGTTTTCATAAACAATATAATATCTGACCTTTGCTTGTAATAAAATCTAGTAGCAGCCAAGAAAAAAATAATATTCTTGTAAACTTAGTATAGAAAATTACAGCAAAACTTTTTCAAAATGTGTGTGCAACTATATGTAACTAACGTTTTACAATTTAGGATTTAAATAGTGTTTCATTGCCAAAAAACAAAACTGGGATGCTTTTAGTCAAGCAATCATTAGCAGTGGAGAAAATTGAAAACATTGCTGAGGATAGACATCAAACAGTTTGCAGTATCTCAGAAATTCTAGACTGTAAGAAATTGTGCATGTCGAGAATTTCAAAAGACAACATAATGTGAAAAAGACTTTAATATTTTAAAGATTTTTCCAAGGTTTCTGCTTTTCCCTGGAGAAGAATAAGGGTATTTATGGTCAAATTGTTAAGGTTCTTGACTTCATTCAACTTGTCCCTCACTCTTACGGGTTCAAATCCTGCCAGTGACTTTGAATTTTTTCATGTGAGGAATCTATCCAGGTAGCTTACGGAATGTCAGTGGTTCTGCTTAGGTGCCTGTTTGTGCCTGAAATAATGCATGAATGGGTACCTGAGGTCTTCCTCCACCAGTGAAGCTGGAAAATCGCCTTGTGACTTATACAGTATTGATGTGACGTGACAACCAAAAAAATCATTACTATACCTTAACAGTGTTGGTCTGAATGAATCCAATGAACAATAATTGGTCCCGTTTGTATTATTGTATGAAATGATATAAAAAGAAATAAAAGATTGTCACATTATGTAAAATGAGTATATAATGTTATATAGATAGGAGATGAGACTGGTCAAGTGACCGCACAGATGAATCTTGCTGACCTGAAGACTGTCCTTGGTATAAGTTCTAGTACAGACACTGACCACCGTCCAAATCTGCATGACCAGTTAGATTTAGGCATGTGTAAGTAAAACTATTTATATAAAGCTCAAATATTGCTAATTTCTCCAAACTTTTACACCCATTAGTGACCTAACTTAGACTTTACAAAGTTGTGATATTTGCGGCTTTTATGACATAATGGTTAACATTGCTGATTTTAAATCATTTGTTATTGCAGGTAATCGATATCAGCAAAACAAATTTATGACCGTATTGAACTGGATGCTAGTTTCATTCATTTTTGTATGTAATCAATTTAGGTTCCACTTAGTCCAACTTAAAGTCAAACATTTTTAAAAATATTTTTGATGCTGAATTTTTGGCCCCATGAAGAAAAGAGAAAAAGTTGTCTTTTTTTGTCCTTTGCAAAAACTTCCACTGAAAAAAGGGAGATAAATGTATATATTCTAAATTAAACTTACAGTTCATTAGTTTGATGATAGAAAAATGAAAATTATTTATGAATGATTAAACTAACATTGCAGATCGTAGAACGGGTGTGTCAAGACGACACAGTATGGAGAGGATGGAGTTGATGAAGCTTACACCAGACAAGAAAGGTGAACTTCCGCCGAGTCACGGAGGAGCCAGACCTAAAATACCTAAAGTCCAAAAATCTATGACAGTTGCATCAGAGACAATTATACCAAAGTCACAAAGTGTAGAGGTCAGTAGATGCTTCGTTTGTAAAATTGTTTTGTACTGGACATCTAAAGTTGTTCTTTGTTGAGACAATAGTTTTTGAAATGAAACATCCCTTTTCATTGGACAATTATTACTTTATATGTAAACTATATACATGTATGCTGTCAAATTATTAAGCAATTTCATTTTTTCTCTGATCAATGAAAGCTTGCTTCTCCAACAGCTCTGGTAATACATGTAAAAACACCTATGGTATAGGGCCATAATTATAACCTGTCAAAAACCTTTATAACTAATAATATAGAAACCAAAGTCTTGATTTCTTTAAAAAAATCATTGATACATGTAGGATACATGTTTAATGCTGCCTGCCAAGTTTTGACAATATGCAGTTATTGCTTTAGTAGCTTTCCTTATGTTGTACATGTTTAGGGACTGTCATGTGAGTAAGCTATCCAGTAAGCTTACGAAATTCTATCTTTTACACTCCTTTTACCTGAAATAAAGCACAAACAGGCCACTGAGGTTTTCCCTCCACCACAAGTAAATGTTAACAGTGTCAGCGTTACTTAAAACTCTAAATTAAACAACCTATGTTGCATGATATTTACCTTTTTGAGGCATTACATTGAATTTCTTAAAATATATTGTTGTCTCCTTCCTGTCGGTTTACAGACATTATCACCAGAAGATGATGGCTTCTTTGACCTTCTCAGTAAGTTTCAAGGTCGCAGGATTGATGAACAGAGATGTAGTCTCGTACCTGGTGAGAAAAATGGCCTCGAAAAATCTGAAAACAAAGAAAATGAAGAAAGTAAACCAAAAATGGGTAAGTTTGTGAACAGTTCACGGACAGTCTGAAGCATTTGATGTCCATTTCCAATTTTGTTATGTTGATTGATCTTTAAGGTTTGTTTTCACCATTATTTATTCATGTTAGGTTTAGAAGATGGAAAATACTAATATGTTCCTATACATATAGTTTGTAACTGGTAAAGGAAATTTCTATGCAAAATTTAACATACTGTAATTTAGATTTTGATACAGAAAGGTCAAGATTCTTTAAATCTTTGTCAAGTAATAATAAGTCACTTGCTATTGGTAGATAAGACATGGGACATGATGATGTAACATAATTATTATATAGGCCATTTGTTTTATTGATTTATTAAAAAAAATAAAAATTTTTTAAACAATTTATCTTCAGAGATATCCTAATGTAGTGTATAAATTTCAAATGTTTTATCTGCAGAGATAGAAATGTATTTTTTAATAAAACATTTCACATGAAATAGATGCTTTTATTTACAAATGTATTCCAAAGCATAGCAACATCTAATTAATAAAATCTATTCCAGCATTTTGAGTTGCTTATTTAAATCTCAATAAATATATAAAAACTATTTATTTTAGCATCAACACCCGACAGTGAAAACTTCTTAGACATGATTGCCGGTATACAGGGTTCACGCATGAACGATCAGAGAGCATCATTACCCCAGTTTCCTGGACTCAATTCTCAAGCTGTGATTAACCAGTATCTACGACAACGTAATGTCCAAGATGTTCCCGATGATAACTTCTTTGAAATGTTGATGCGATGTCAAGTGAGTGTATACTTTAAAATGTGTTTGTACTCCTTGATAGTCAACTTTATATACTGAAGTTGTTTTTCTTTTTTTCTCATTAGAAAAGTTTTTATGATAAAAACAAATCAATTGATTAATTAAAGATAAACAATTAACAAGGAACCTTGGAAACAGCATTAGAATCAGTAATTACAAGTTCATGAAAGATTTCATTTGGTTTACTATAGCAAGGAATATAAAGTGTAGTGCTCCTGGATGGGTTTGACTGTTTCTGTTAAATTTTGCAAATGAAACTGTTCCATGCTTTTTAGCTCGACTATTCGATAAGAATAAGTAGAGCTATTGCAGTCACCAGAGCGTCGGCGTCGGCGTAACCACTTATGTTAAAGTTTTTGTAATAGTTCAAATATTTTCAAAGTCCATAGACATATGGCTTTGAAACTTTGCACACTTGTTCACCATCATGACCCCAACCTGTAGACAGGAGGAGGTAACTCTATCAAGCATTTTGACAGAATTATGCCCCTTTTTCGACTTAGAATTTACGTTAAAGTTTTTGTAATAGTTCAAATATTTTCAAAGTCCATTGACATATGGCTTTGAAAATTTACACACTTGTTCACCATCATGACCCCAACCTGTAAACAGGAGGAGGTAACTCTATCAAGCATTTTGACAGAATTATGCCCCTTTTTCGACTTAGAATTTATGTTAAAGTTTTTGTAATAGTTCAAATATTTTCAAAGTCCATAGACATATGGCTTTGAAACTTTGCACACTTGTTCACCATCATGACCCCAACCTGTAAACAGGAGGAGGTAACTCTATCAAGCATTTTGACAGAATTATGCCCCTTTTTCGACTTAGAATTTACGTTAAAGTTTTTGTAATAGTTCAAATATTTTCAAAGTCCATTGACATATGGCTTTGAAACTTTACACACTTGTTCACCATCATGACCCCAACCTGTAAACAGGAGGAGGTAACTCTATCAAGCATTTTGACAGAATTATGCCCCTTTTTCGACTTAGAATTTACGTTAAAGTTTTTGTAATAGTTCAAATATTTTCAAAGTCCATTGACATATGGCTTTGAAACTTTACACACTTGTTCACCATCATGACCCCAACCTGTAAACAGGAGGAGGTAACTCTATCAAGCATTTTTTTACTATCAAGCACTAAGAATAGTCAAGCGTTGCTGTCCTACCGACAGCTCTTGTTTATTTTGTAATGAAAAATTATCATAGGGAAAGGTAAAAGTCACATGTATAGTTTCACAGAATGGTATATAAATCACAGTGTTGTATATAGTACATGTTATTATAGGACGAAATGTATTTATAGATATCACATGACTACAGTGGGTTTATTTAGCTCACCTGAGCAAAAAGTTGCACTCAGTGGTGAATTTTTTTGTGATGGCCCATTGTTAGTCATTTTGTTGTTAACTCCAATTTCTTTAAACAACATCTCATGAAGTACAAGGTGGTATTTGACAAAACTCTACACTTCTAAACTTGTATAAGTAAGAATTGTTTGTGAAAGTTAAAAAGTGGGCCCGCCAAGATGTGACGGAATGACATAGTTCTGCATTTAGAAATCACGATGTTTCCCAGCAATGTATCTCTAGTGACATATTTATCATAGGCCTTCTCTTTCAGTGAGCGTAAAAAATCCTTAACCAAAAACCCCAATCATTTTGTAGTTTCCATTAAGGGGCATTTATTTTGTAATAGTTGCTGCTCAGCATCCCTCAAGTTATTTAACATTTAGAGTTTTGTTTTTCACAGGTATACTGTACCTTATATATTAGTACATTCACTGTATCAACTCACTTGGTATTACAGGATTTTTGTTTTTACTTTCCCACCTAAGTATAAACTATATCAGATTTTGTCATATATTATTTAGCTAGTCAGGAAGTTTCTTCAAATCTTTGATTGTAAGTATTTGGCTTTGATGTGCTAGTAAACATGGATCTCCACTTGATCTTTACTTGGTAAACACCAGTCATTTTAGTAAATCATGCTCTTAAGGTATATTACAAAAGTATGATCACTACACCACTAATGGAATAAGTTACTTTAAGATTTATGTGTGAAAAATTAGCTATGACAATAATACACAATGCTAGATAGATAAATTTCTACAAGAATCTAGCTTTTATGATTACACTGAAGTTTAAATGGAATTTTATTGTACTGACTTACACTATGTTGTTTGTGTATGTGCTTTAATATTTTTTTATCATTTTTTTTTACAGGGAGCAAGAATTGATGACCAAAGGAGTTCCTTGCCACACAACAGACAAGCCCCTACCGTTCCAGATGAGGATTTCTTTAGTTTAATACAAAAAGTCCAGTCTAGTCGTCTAGATGGACAGAGAACCTGTTTACCAGATAATGAAGATGGTTTACCAGTCCAGCCTACTCCAGGGAAGAAAAAAAAGAAATAGACTGTGTCAATTTATAATACATTGACTGGTTCTTATTACAGATAAACTTCTCTGTCTTATTGTATGACAGTACAGTAAACATTAGCAGGTCAAAGAAGTTAAATGAACAAATCTTTGTTACAGATTTGAAATAGAATGTGTCCCATGTAGATTTAGATCTTCAATGTCCAGCTTAATATGTTTTAAGTTAAAAGAGATTTATAGCATGTCACAAAGTCATCAGACTCATCACTGTAGATTCAGTGTAAACAAACTCATTGTATTTTAATGTCAGTTTTGTTTCTTTACATTTAACTAAGAACACAAGAGAACAGATACACAACTTTTTTTTAAAAAAACATGATATTTTCATTGATTTAACAGGCCTTTTTCAACACTTTTAGAAAACCACCAACATCGTTTGAGTTCTAAAAAGGGCTAAAATGGGAATTTAACAAAACTAGACACATAATGAAAAAGATCGCAAAAAACCAACATTTACTGAATAAACTAAAACTATAATTGCATAAGTAGAGAAGAGCTTTATGATTATTCACAATTGTTTCTGTTTGGATTGAAATGTCAATTTGTGTAATGATATTTTACTGCAGCTTTTCCATACTTATACATGCAAAATTCAAAGTATGATTAAAAAAATTAAATGTTGAAAAAGTTATATGTCAAAATTGTTTTTAAAAAAAAATGATACACAGTATCGTACAAAAGAAATGAATCTCTGATAATTTTGTCTGCCTCTTATTTTTCATATTTGTATGAACTTTTTAGTTTCATTACCGTAATTATTATATGATGACTCAAATATGTTGCCAAATTCATTCTGTAAACAAAACATACTGTTACTTTAACAGCATTTAAAGTTGTAACAGATTATTTTCTCATTTATTGTCATCATAGGTCATTTATTGCTTTTCTATATATTTTATTTTTCTTACTAGCTTATCGCACTGCATTGAAGTGATATTTTATATATATATACACACAATTTTTGGTCATACTTTCTGAAGGTTGAAGCTTTTTGATTGGTTAGCCGTGTTTTATTTGAAATCATGTTACTATATTTAGATTATGACATCACTATATTTAGATTCATTGGTATTTGAATGATTGTTGCTACGGTGATCTCTGATGTTTATTCAGATATCTAAATCACATTTTGAGTTGAATATGATTTATTTTAAACAAGTTTTTTTTTTTTTTTTAAATTTTAAAATCTTGCAACTATTTTGTTGTGAAAAACAAAATGTTAAAAATTGCAACATACAAGTCACATCTTTGTCTGATTTTGAAGGCCTAAAATATACATGAACTTTTATTAAATGCCAAACAATTGCAGGTCAAAGTTCTAATTATGTACAATGTAAGTATTAAAGTAAGCTAGCCATGTTGAAGGATTAGGAAGTTATTTTAACGGGTCAATTATAACTGATGATCTCAAACCAGTTCTGTTTTAGCACTAACTCTTCTTTGTTCATGTTAACACACTTTTAATACCCCCCACTGAAGGATTACATATAGCTTTTGAATGATCTGTCTGTCTGTATATCTGCTTTTTGTCTGGTACATAACTTAATAAATTCAATTGTTGATTAATAAATGAATTTTTATTAAACCTGATATTTTGTTTTAGAAGTAGTTAGAAATGAAAGTGAATTGAAAGATGTGCAATTTAGAACTTGTTGTATTGTTAACAGATGTGTGTGTGTTTTTTTTAAATGAATGTACAAACCATGACTTGTTTTTAATTTCATGAAGCATTTTCTACAAAAGAATGCATAATAAGTAACAGTTATACAGACTTGAAGCTTTTCTTTTCTGTTTATGCAGTATATCATTTATAATCATATAAAATGTTTAGGTAGAAACTTTATTTTCATAAATTGCTCATTAAATTTCTAAGAAAATGGCCTACTGTATGGCCTAGACTTGAACATTTAACATGATGGGAATTGGTAAATGTGATTGATGAAAAAAAATTTTTTTATTTAGTGCAGATATCGTCAGAGACATTGCAACAAGATTTTAAAATGAGCCACGCCATAACAAAACCAACGTAAAGCGTTTGCAACCAGCATAAATCCAGACCAGCCTGGGCATCTGCGCAGTCTGATCAAGATCCATCCTGTTCGCTTACAAACCCTATAACAAGTAAAGAAAATGTTAGCGAACAGCATGGATCCTGATCAGACTGCGGGAATGCACAGGCTGGTCTGGATCCATGCTGGTCGCAAACGCATTATGTTGGTTTTGCCATGGTGGCGGTCAAATGTTTTAAAACAGCACGTTTCCAGACAAGTGTACAAAGTTTTTGAAGAAATTTTTTTTCCAACATCAGTATGAGTTTCAGATCATTGTCTATACTTGTGTTACTGTTCAAAACTCTTGACTATTTAGGAGAAAGAATGTGTACGGACCAAATAGCTGAGTCTGTAAAGCCATGGTACGGTATTCCAAGGGTCCCGGGAAAAAGTCCTGGTCAGGCAGCACATTTTTCTCACCATGTACACATGTATGCATAAAATAACTGAACTTTACTTTTTGTATCATCATATAGGGTGAGGATCGATTTGTAATTTAAGGGTCGCTGGTTTGATCCTTGAGTGAGGGAAATATTTCTCCGTGACAATGGATCTTGAACATACAGCCTTAATTGTCACTTGTCTTTTACTGCTGAGTCATTCATCATCATAGAAGCCTCTCACTTGGTGACCAATTGATATTTACTGTTTAGTTATCTATGAAAGCTGGTTAGGTGGATGGACCACCAAGATATGATAAAAATAATGCTTATAATATCTGTCATATTTTGCGGTTCGGATTGGAAAATCCGTCCCGAGGTGACCCGCCCATTGGGCGGTTACGAGGCTTGTCGAGTTACCGCCCATGGGCGGGTGACCGAGGGACGGATATTCCGATCTGAACCGCAAACATATGTCAGATATTTTTTCTTGCATATTCTACCATATTCCATTATATTTTAAATTCTTTATCTTTATTTTCAATGAAAATTTATATCATTACAACCGTAACTACTTTCTTACAACAGTGTATGAATTACAAAATCATTCATAACGGTAAAATGACGTCATCTTTTCCGTGCCACTGCACAGCACGCGACATCTGGAACGCCCCATGCCAGATGAACTTTCCGGCATGGGTAAAACTAACGGAAACGCCAGTCTGATATGCAAGAAATTAATATCTTAAAATAGGAAAATGATTCTGGAGACGTGCTGTTTTTAAAATCTAAAAGTCTTTGATCAGTTTTGACACTTAGCTGAAAAATTCTACTTTTTAGTTTGCTTATCCCTGATACACTGTTATATGCATTAGTTACAATTGGTTGTGTATTTAAACATGTAGAGAAGATTTCGTGCACTTATCTACTGTAAATACAAGTACAGTTTTAACATTCTGTGTGTAGGCAAGTAGTTTGTTGTATTTAGTTTTATTTTAATTATAGATTTACTCTGCCTGTATCAGGAATAATTTGTGGCAGAAATTTGAGTAAATTTTAATATTTTTGTTCAATAAAAAAACAGCTGATTTTCATACTAAGGATTTATTGTGTTCTATCATATACATTGTTTACATTCATTTTCATCATAATGAACATTAATACTTGTTATATTTCTACTATAGAAGCATTAGTTTTACAAGATCAAGTTTTAAGAGAAGCCAGTTTGTTTCCAGCTAGTTTGTAGCCATCTTATATCCAGCTTGTAACAAGTTAGCTTGTTCCCTAGGTTGTTACCAGCTTATGTCCAGCTAATGTGTAGCCTGCTCTCGATTGTTTCCAGCTAGGGTGTAGCCAGCTTATTTTCATCTAATATGTAGCCAAATTGTTGCCAGCTAGCTGGTTTTGTGCTAGCTAGATGTATTTGAATATCAGTTCAGAGTAAAGAATTAAACTTGTAGTGCAATTGTGGTTTTCTAAAATGTAGCTAGATTATTAAGATCACTATGATATAAAACACTCTGAAACTATAATTTTGTCAAAATATATTTTAGTTATTGAAACAAGATATATTAAGGGAATAAAATGTTTTAAAAAAAGTGACATTATATTTTAAAGGTTTAGCTAACATTGTGTTAGGTAGGTTATCAATGTTTCAGTGTCTGTTTTATGATCACTACAAGATATACGTTTATAAAACTTACCCGTAACAAACGTGGTTTATTTTTCTTGAAAATGATCAAGAAATGATATAATAAGATTACAAATGCTTCTCATAAATCATAACTTGATAATATGCTGTAAAATACCATTTCTCTCAGACGGTGAGTTACTCATTATTCTATCACATTATTGCATTATATCATGTCATGTATACATGTTAGTCATTTATGTTAGAGTACTAGTAGTTTGCTGTTACACAGTGTCATACATCAATACAGTTATATCTCTTACAAAAATATGATTATTTTGTGTCTGAAATTATTTTTTTTTTTACCGATTTCTGAGATATTTATAAGGGTTAATAAAAGTAGTTAACTGTAACATTAATAATGTAGAATTTGTTTTTAAAATATAACTTATTGTGCATACAAATTTAGAATGAATTTGAGTAATAAAAAAAATTCCATCAAGGTTACAGTCATTGACAATTATACTTAAGCGATGCAATAGATATTTCTGAAGTCGATGAATTGTTTGTGTATTGTAAGAGGTGTAAGTGTATTTATGAATGTGTCAGTATGTGTGGCTTATATAGAAAATGCTGTATGTTTATAAGTCATTTGATACATTGAATTATTATGCATTGTCTAAATTAAATAAACATCCATAATTGATCTACAAACTATCAATGACATGTTGACTCAAAAATAAAGGATACTGAATTACCTGATATTATTTCTTTGACTTAACCTCCAATTTTGATCTGTTACTGGAACAACTTGTCTATGTCGGAAATTATTTTGGCTTACTGTTGAATGTTCATATTTGTGTCTTCAAAGACAACCTCGTTTCAACAATCAATGCTGAAGAACAAGTCCAGAATGGCGGCATGGCTGAGTGGTTAATGTGTGTCAAAGATTGCTGCCCGCTTGGGTTCAAACCTGTCAGGGGCAAGCTGTTGTTTCCATGAGTAAGAAACTTTACGTTCATTGCTTAGTACTGGCTGGTTCCAGGAATGGATTTGAGAGTGTTTATAAGCTTCCAACATAAACTTAAATTAATTTGTATAAACTAACAAGTCGAAGACATTGCCATTAAATTATAAAATAAATTTCAATTGGAACAGTCGAAAAGAAATGTGGAACAAAGAAAAGAAACTTAAAAGTACCTGTTAGAAGTCTTCTAGGTAAAGGAGCAGAACATACAAAAGCTAACTGTTGGAAGAGATAAAAGACTAAATTTCCAAGTTCTGATTGATTGAGCTTGTTTTTGGACGGTACAGGAATATGTATGCTACTGCTGTCCAAGCACCTCTTGGACCTGTCAAACATTAATATATGACAATGGTGACATTCAGAATGTAGAAATGTTGGTATATGTGTTTATACCAAAGTTATCAAGGAGTTCAATGTGACACTTGCATGCTAGTCCATGAAAAGCGGCATACGGTCAACTAAATGAAGGCATGTGGGAAATGAATGGGTCAAAAATAAAAGGATATTTTGAAATGATATTAGATGTTATAAATCCTGCATGTCACAGATCAACTTCAAAGGACAAATTTAAGAAGAGCATAGCTACGGTATTAACTCTCATCTGTAAAGGACAACCATTTTTATAAGCTTGACTTAACACTTTAAAAAAACAAGATTGCATTTGAGAAAAATGCTATGCCACCGCATTAATACCTAAGCTCTAGGCCTTTTGGGCATTTACAAGAAGGTATTTTAAGTTTTTGAAGCCTTGTACCTTGTACCTACAGACAATAAGATTTTTTTATTTTTTACTATATGTATATATTGAAAATCAATGACCCCCGGGGCGGGGGCAATTTTGACCCCAGTGCTATAATTTGAACAATCTTGCTAGAGGTTCACTACACAATGTTTCATGCAAAATATCTAACCTCTAGCATTTGTCAATTGCTAGAAGAAATTTTTTTAAAGTTTTTACTATATACATATAACGAAAACCAATGACCCCCGGGGCAGGGCCGATTTTGACCCCCAGGGCTATAATTTGAACAATCTGGGTAGAGGTCTACAACACAATGCCTTATGCTCTAGGCCTTTTGGGTCTTTACAAGTAGGTATCTAAAGTTTTTACTATATGTACATATAGTGAAAATCAGTGTCCCCCGGGGCGGGGCCGATTTTGACCCTAGGGCTATAATTTGAACAATCTTGGTAGAGGTCTACCAGGCAATGCCTTATGCAAAATATCTAAGCTCTAGGCTATTTGGGTCTTTACAATAAGGTATTTTAAGTTTTTACTATATGTACATATAGTGAAAATCAATGACCCCGGGGCAGGGCCGATTTTGACCCCAGGGCTATAATTTGAACAATCTTGGTAGAGGTCTACCAGACAATGCCTTATGCAAAATATCTAAGCTCTAGGCCTTTTGGGTCTTTACAAGAAGATTTTTTAAATTTATTCTTATAATTCCTTTTGGTTGCCATGGCAACCAGATTTCTGCATGGAATGAAATTCTTTGAACAACTTTGGAAGCCCTTCACCCAAGGATCAATCCTGCCAAGTTTGGTTGAAATTGGACTATTGGTTTTTCACAAGAAGATTTTTTACGTTCACTATATAATCTATATAACAATGACCCGGGGCGGGGCCGATTTTGACCCCAGGGCTATAATTTGAACAATGTTGGTAGAGGTCTACCAGACAATGCCTTATGCAAAATATCTAAGCCTTAGGTCTTTTGGGTTTTTACAAGAAGGTTTTTTAAGTTTTTACTATATGAACATAGTGAAAATCAATGACCCCCGGGGCAGGGCCAATTTTGACCCCAGGGCTATAATTTGAACAATCTTGTTAGAGGTCTACCAGACAATGCCTTATGCAAAATATCTAAGCTCTAGGCCTTTTGGGTCTTTACAAGAAGATTTTTTAAATTTGTTCTTATAATTCCTTTTAGTTGCCATGGCAACCAGATTTCTGCATGGAATGAAATTCTTTGAACAACTTTGGAAGCCCTTCACCCAAGGAACAATCCTGCCAAGTTTGGTTGAAATTGGACTAGTGGTTTTTCACAAGAAGATTTTTTAAGTTCACTATATAATCTATATAACACACACACAAACACACACACAAACACACACACACACACACACACAGGTGAATCGCTATATGCCACCGCATCGCAGATGCTGCGGTGGCATAAAAATTAGAGGTATTGTTACAGTCACCTGGGTGTTGCTGTCTGCAACATTGACCTTGATCATAATTTTTTAAGTTTTTGATGTATAGTGTCTTCATACTTGGCCACAACCCTTGGGGCAAGACCTTTAAGTAGACCAGACTAACCTTGACCTTTTCCATTAATGACCTTGACCTTCAAGGTCAAATGTCTGAATTTTGCTCGTTTTTTTGCTAGTAGTGGCTATTACTTTGTTAAGTGGATTGGCTTCAAACTATATGATAATCTTTTAGGATAGACCTTCAACTTAACCAGACAGACATTGACCTTCACTCATAAATGACACAGATGGTAAAATTATTGAAATTTTCATTTGCTGTAACTGGCAATTACTTTGTTATTATTAAATGGATTTAAAGGTCAAGGTCAGTTCAACCTTTTAGAAGGTTTAACTGTTGAATAATAATGTCCAGAATGTTGTTTTGTCAAAGTATGAAGATAATCAATTTTTCATTACCAAGTTAAAGGTCAATAGCAAAATCATTGAAAATTCAATAATTTTACCTTCAAGGTCAAGGTTATAAAATGGCCAAGGTCTAAAATTTTAGAATGATGATTAGAACATGATTTTTCACCAGTGACACTCCAGCTTGACTTTCCTCGAAATAAATGCCCTTAAATGTGAGAAGACAGTTGACTTCTCTGTGATTTGTAAGAAATCAACAATGTTTTCAAACTTTATGTTACTCAAGTTACATTCAGAGTGAAGTCAACATTTGAGGGATTTTTGGTAAATGTTCAACAAGGGCATGCTGCAAATGTATGATGACTTTGCATGTTTAGAAATTAAGACAGTCCTGTCAATATCTAAGGATCTAAATTTTAAACATAACATTGAGTTACCAATAGGTATTGTTTGTTTGTTTGATTGGGTTTTATGTAACACAGACCATATGGCAACATTCCAGCTTTACTGGTGAAGGAAGACCTCAGGTGCCTTCTGTGCATTATTTCAGGTACAAACAGGCACCGGAGTCGGAGTAGAACTACCAACCTTCAGTAACCTTAGGCAGAATAGCTTCCTCACATAAAAGAATCCAAAGTCACTGTCAGGATTCAAACCCACAGCGGTGGGGGGCAAGTGGTTTGAAGTCAATGACCTTTACCAAAACCATGGACGCCCTTTACAAAGAGTATAGTCTAGTCACACTGTGTGGATGAACATGCTGGCCTGGCTTTACACTAGCAGCAAAGACTGATCAATGTTGGTTCCACCAGGAGACCTAGTTATAATAATATTACTGTATCCCAGCATTCAACTTTCACATATAGAACTTTTTGAGCTTTGCTCTCTTTAGAGGTTTAAAGAAAAAAAAACAAAAAACATTTTCATATTTTAAACTTTATTTAACACATAAAAGTATACAAACATCAACAATGTCAGTCATACAACATGTTCATATATAGAAATTATAGTTTAACAGCATAATCTTACACTTCTGTAAATTTTAAATACATGTAATTATATAAATTTACAATATGAACAATCAAATAGATGTCATGATATAAAATTACCTCAGCACATGAGTGCAAATGACTTTGGTACCATTATTTTGACACATAGCACATGGTATCTTTATTATGACACAAAGTACATGGTATCTTTATTGTGACATAAAGCACATGGTATCTTTATTGTGACATAAAGTACATGGTATCTTTATTGTGACATAAAGCACATGGTATCTTTATTATGACACATAGCACACAATTAAGCAGCATCAAGTAACATGACACACTTTTGTAGGTAAACTGACATTCTTCATAATAAATATGACACAAAGCATACAATTAATCTGTGTCAAGTAAGATGAGGTAAAATGACATTTAAACATTATAACATATCAAAACGTCATTTGGTCATTTATAAGCATTACAATTCTAGTGAAAGCATGCAAATTTATGTTCAACTTATCAAATTCATTGTTCCAAAAAGACTTAGAAATAAAACAAAATTCACATAATTAATTTTAAATGCTTACTGTGAGAGATATAAGTGACATGTACATTTATAAATCAATAACAGAATTTTTCAGGAAGTGTAATTAAAATCTCATTTATCTAATGCTAAAATCTAACACATTACATATAACTTTGTAGTAATTGCATGTAACTTATGTTCAAATGACTCTAGACAGAAATTTTTGCTTTACAAAGTGTCTATTTTACAATTACAAATCGTAACAGAGAGCAACACATAACATTCAACATACATTATATAAATAAATAAATAAAAAAATTACATTCATTCAAATTTTAATAGAACTAAGAAAAAAACGGGTCAATATTTGGATATAATTAAAAAAAATCTTTTTGTGTTGTAAATATAAAATTTATGTGAACCATTTCCTTATTGATATGTATATACACATTCATACAAAGCTACATTAAAACCTAAAAAATAATACTGAGTAAGAAATACTTTTTTTCAAATATAAAAGGGACATAACTCAAAAATGGAGAAGCTGATTTTTCAAAAATATATAACATAAGAGTATCATAACAATCCAA